TAATTAATGGTTATAATTCTTGGACAGAAGTACTTGATTATCAGAAGTCCAAAGATGTCATTCTACTGATCCAGGCTCCAGCCTTTTCTAAGTCATAAGGCTCATTAGAACAATGAACTCTTGATAGCTACCTATGGTTAGGGATATATTGTTGGACTTAATGTTACTGAATATAAATTGGTGTTAGCAGCACTTTTCAATTATAATTGCTGGTTGAATTAAAATTTCCTGGAATTAATTTAAGACACTTTAAAATTTAAAATTACATCCAAGTAATGTAATGTCTGAGAATTCCGAAACTGGATTGTTCTTGCATGAAGGTCAAGAGGCATGAATATTAACTTTATGAGACATTTAAATCAACTATCAGACTTTAACATGAAAAAAATTGAAGTACAACTTTTCGCAGAAATAAATAGAAGTGAATATTTTTGATTCTGGCCCCCAACTTATAAAAAGTTGCCCTATATAATGAGAATTTCATTCCATTTTTAGATGCTTTCTGAAACAATTCTGCTTTAGTGAACATTTTTAGATTAAGAATTCTGAGTGTATCTTTCCTTACATTTTATTCGTGATTATTATGATTTGGTTTGTTTTTATTTGAAATGTAGTTTCAGTACCTGTTAAGATTTGGTTTGTTTTTATTTGAAATGTAGTTTCAGTACCTGTTAAGAGAAAAGCAGAAGAAAATAAAGGAAACTAAAACTTACTCTTGAGCCTTTTTCAGGAAAGCACCGGCAAATGGAGCAATCTTCTCCACCACAATGTCCAATATATGAGCCCTAAAAAGAAATAGAAGATATTCCTGTTATCCCATTTCAGATCTATTTACCAATGTCATATAAATGTATGACATATAAATTCCAAAAGTATTTGGAAGCTTAGAAATGCTTAATCATCAATAAGGCTATTAAAAAACTTGTTTACAAACTATATATAAAAGAAATAATGGATAAAATACTGATTGATAAGGTTATAGAATCCCTAAACCTGTATGTGTGTATGTGTATACTGTATATGTATTATTTTATTTCACATTTTTGTACTGTATTAGATGTCTATATGTACACTCCCCCCACACACACACATGTGCCAAAAAAGCATCTAAAATTAACCCCAATGAGACTACCTTTAAACAGCTAAAGTTATGGAATGAATATTACAGATTTTTTATAAAAGAGCAAAAAGAAAAAAAACCACAAAATCAGGAAATTAGCTAAGAGTGGTAATGGATTTTTTTTTAAGTTAAGTCAAAACAGAAACGCACACAAAATGATTTGCTCCTGGACAAGGCAAAAGAAATAGGAACCAATCAGTGAAGACCATGAAATTTAAGAAATTGCTTAATTTTAAGTAAAAGAGGATAAGTGTGAGACCTATAAAAGACATCAATCAGGATTCTGGGAATTGTCCTTGAAGTGCTGGGAAACAATTCCCTAGCCAAAACCGAAACAAAACAAATATCAAGATATTATTGGGAGCTTTGAAAGTTTTATAGGAAGAGATACATTTTGGAAAGATGTAATTTTTTTCTGATTTTAAACAAAAATGAATATACCAAGTCTAGAACAAAATTGCCAAAATGTTTCTTTAAGGAATCTTGTGCCATTAAAGCATTGAAGAAATATAATATAGAAAGTTGCTACTGTGTGGTAATAATATTAAATGTGGCACTTTTATGCATGTAAGTTGATTCTTATGTGCCATTGGAAAAGGGATTAACTTTTAAAAGACTTTTAGTCTTTTAGACAACCATAAAAATTTCAAGCAGATAAAATGGAATATTATCAGAGAATATGTTGGAGTTACGGTATCAGCTGCCTAAGTGACAATATAGTTTTTCATCCACATACTTATTAGTTAGAATATCTGCAATAAATATAATATTCATAAAATATGTGAACTAATCTACAAAATTGGCCATGAGTTCATATTTGTATCTCAGCCACACAACATGTAAACCAAAAATATGTGCATATTGGTGATATAATGCATCTTGCATTCTTGACTTTTGTCCCTCATTATAATTTTAACTCTATGCCTATTACTAAATAGGTTTATATTTTCATGGTGTTCTTTTATTTATTCATCCATTTATTTGTTTTATATATCAAATGTATATGTCTACCCGTTTCATGAAATGTGACTCTGGGCAATGTTCAACAATGACACAAAATGGTTTTTTTAAAGTTATTATTAAAAAGTTTTTAAAATAATAATAATAATCCTAAAGTGTGTAAGATATTATATGTTAGCAATCATAGAGAAGATCTCCATGATCTCCTGGGAGTCTCAGGCCTGATGACATATGAGCCAGTCCTTGAGTGACTTTTTTAAAGTATTTAATGATGGAGCCCTTCAGATTCTCTTCATAGTTTTCTCATTAAATGAACTGGCCGTTTTTTTCCTTATCAAAAATATTTCCAAAACATTTTGTGTTCTTGCTCTTTAGTCTGTATATGTGTTTACGCATACTTAGTTATGCAAAAAAAAAAAAAAAAAAAGACATCTGGGTCATTTTATCTTGAGGCAAAATTCCAAGGGAAATATCAATCTATCTCTTGCTTTTTTGGCTGTTTAGATGCATATTTCTGAGGCACTATGACTGTTAAAAAGTTTCTGGGTGTCTCCCCCCTCCCAACTAAAACATGTTTTATTATCATTCTAGGCAAACTATTTTTCAGTTTAACCTTGCACTGAAGATTAACACGCTAGAATAGTCAAAACATAGATTAATCACAAAAATTTTGACTATTTTTCATTTAACGATTTACAGCTCCCCCCAAAGAAAACAGTGTGTTGTGGAATCATCAAATTCTTTGCAAGTGACCCTGGGTTCCTTAGAGGAAGGTGTGTAATAATAAATTACATTTTTGAGCTTCCTCTGCAAGAAATGTTTGGCCTATGTTCTACTTTCAGTTCACTTAAGATGCCACCAGCAGCTAAAATTTGGGTGAGAAGTTTCTCAAATGTGATGAGGTTTTGTGGCAATTTCTTATACTGATGAATAAGTGGGGAAAGGCTTCCTGAAGAGAGAAAGTTTGCTTAAATTATTATTTGCTACCTTATTACTTGCATCAATTTTGGGAGGTATATAAGTTATAGAAGTTCTTAGGTTTTCAAGTTGCAGATATTTTAAGCCTGAAACCATCCAAACTATGTAATTAGTATATGCTTTCTAAAAACAAATTTATGAATAGTTTGCCCACAACAATAATAGGGGCATTGCTTAGGAAGGTTATTAGCCTGTTTTGTAAGATTAATTTCATATTCAGACCAGATGCCTATGAGAGTTTTTTCTTAAATCCTAACTTCCAGTATGCTTCAGCTTCAATGCTATACTCTGCCCTGATGTTTAATTGTACAGAAAATCAGATATGATTTGCTAAATATGCTATTGAAGTAATTCTCACTTTAATTATATTCAAACGTTCATATTGAGCTTTACAGCAAATGTTACTACTTAAAAATCCCACTATATTCAATACGTAAATGTAAATTTGCTAGCTAATTTGACTAATTATACTAAGGAATCTTTTCCAAGCAACTTTATGTTTCCCAATAGTTCAGGGCAAGATATGCAAAATTATTTATTGGTTAAAGTTATTATTCAATTTTCATCAACACATACATTATCTCAGATATTTTATTGATTCAAAAATAATTTTGCAACATGCATGTGAATAAAAAGGAAGGGTTTTTTTATTTGTATCACTTACCCCAGAAGATGTATGGACTGAAGCAACAATTATAAGCCACCTAATTCACAGAAAGATACAAATTAAATTAGGATAATCAGCCTCAAATTGATATAAGAAAATCTTACTGCAAGGTTTTAAAAGAATTAGAAAAATGATTAGGACTTTTTTCTTTATTTTTCTAGTAAAATAGTGGCTCGGTTTGCATATAGTTAAACTATACATAGTTTAAGATATCACAATTAAAGAGTGATTCTCTGTGTCAAACTTACTCAGCCACTGTGATTACTTTATATCATGTGAGTCTTTAAAATTGAGAAAATTTTAAAAAATATAATAAAGCATATGATGGGATGTTAGACAAACATATCACCTTCTCTCAAGATATAAAATGAAAAGACTATAAGAGTGTGGATTTTATATCCTATGTATCATTTATTAATTCTTCATAGTTCCTTATGAACACTCACATATTTGCACAGTTAATACAGGTAGTCCCCAAATTATGACAACTGAGCCCCAAATATCTGATGCTAAGTAAATTAAGTGAATTTTGCCATGGTGACACAGTGGTTAGAATGCAGTATTGCAGACTAACTTTGCCCACTGCCAGGAGTTTGATTCTCACTGGCTTATGGAAACATGGGTAAATTAGAGAATTCCCTGTTTCATTAACCAACAAAATTAATATTTGTGCTTATATTTTGATTTTTGTCAGTATCTAGCAAATATAAGGGTAAATACCAGATGCAATCTATTTCAAGTAATACTATAAAATACAATACAATAGCAGAGTTGGAAGGGACCTTGGAGATCTTCTAGTCCAACCCCCTGCCTAGGCAGGAAACCCTATACCATTTCAGACAGATGGCTATCCAACATCTTCTTAAAGACTTCCAGTGTTGGGGCANAACCTTCCCCTGGAGTGGGGAGGGAATAGAGATTTTACAGTATCCTTCCCCTGCCACGCCCATCAAGTCATGTCCACCAGCCATGCCATGCCTACAGAATTGGTAGTAAAAAATTTTTAATCTTACCACTGATGTAAAATATATTCATGGTTAAAAAAACATTGAAAATGAATTCATGATTAATCAACCTGGATTAAATTCCTTTTCATAGTAGCTGCATGTGTTAAACTCCTGTATACACTTTTAGAATTTCCTAATATTAATAACACAAATCTTGCCTAAACCAATGGCAATCTTTATGGGTGTAAGTCGTGGCTCTTACATATTTAAAATTATTTACACAACTCTTTATCATAAGGCACTATTTAAAAAATGACATAACACTCACAGTTGTTCCTTGAATGAAAGTATGTATGGAATTTCCTTTTTCTCCTTTTTGGCCAGGTATACCCTATAAAAGATGTTTAAAAATCATGACAAAAACAGAAAGTTTGCACACAAAAGCTGAAACAATAAAATGCATGCAGTCTTTGACTTATGTCTGTAGTTAGAACCAAAATCTAATCGTAAGTGGAGGCACCATAGGACCAGAAGTAGTTTTCCAGCCTTTTTGTTTGTTTGTTTGTTTGTTTGTTTAAGCGTATGCCTCAGTTATTAAGTAAACCCATTCATTTGAATTAACATATTACAGAGCATATTACAATACAAACACATCTCTATGCACTTTTTCTGGACAATGAAGTGAGTCCAGTATACCTAAGAAGATAGATATACAAATTAGTGGCATTTATAAATTGATCACAAACTGTATAAGATCTAGTAAACTTCAACTCACAAGTGATCCTTTTGGTCCAATGCATCCGTCTCCTCCTGGAAGCCCTGGATCACCTCTGGTACCATTGCAGCCATCTGCCCCAGGCTTTCCTCTAGGTCCTTCCATTCCTGGTAGCCCCTATAACAGAAATCCTATTAATTCTGTATGTATGTTAAAATAACTCATCATTTCTCTGTATATATTAAAAGAATGCACTATGAAATCCAGGATCAAAACCCTGCTAAGATGTCAGGTGTATCTCCAATAGAATTAGAAACAATCTAAAAGTTGAAGCCTGCTATGTCTAAATAAACCCAGTTTGGGCAAGGCTGAATATTACCTCTTTAAATGGTTAAACATACCTGAGACAGAAAGCTAATATTATGGGTAGTCAGAAGAACAAATTGGACATACAGAAGGCATGTATATAAATACTATGGTTAACATTCTACTCAAATGTTTACACAAATTAACGGAGGTTCCAAATGCAAGCTGATAGTATATTGTATATGAACATGCATTCTTTGGTGTCATACATTTCCTGCCATTTTCTCATAGAGCTTCTTCTTCCAGTTGCTAAGTGCTCAAAATGTCACAAGCTATTTGCAGGGCAAACTGCAGTTCCAGTAGGGATTTTACGAAAATTTCTACTCAACTATAATAGTAATTTCTATCCAAATAATCATTCAGTTAAAAACAACAGAAAAAAATTAATAGACTAGTTTCTTTGGTGTAGTTTATTATTTATATTCACAAATATATGTTTCTAAGCTTCTATTTAATAAAAAGGAGATCACAAGACTTTTTTTAAAAAAAATGCAATGTTGTGGTTTCAGAAGCAAAGGTAGTAACTTGTTCTTATTAATGCTCTACGCTCTTTACTCAGAAAAAAATAGTATTCATGAATTCTGCAATGTGGGAGAACATTCATAGAATAACTGCTGGTAATAAGGTTCTAAACTAGTCTGCCTTACTACCCAGTTCTAACAGTCTTTTACAACAAAACATTTGATAATAACCTTCAAAGTTCTGGGATTTTTCCAAGGGATTTCTCCCTTTTCTCTTCTAGCTAGGGCTAATTCTTATTGCAAAGAATGAAATTAGTTCTCTATTAGCTAATTTCCTCATTAGATGTAACCGTCCTGGAGATGTGTATCAGACATTAAAATACCATCAAATATAATATTTTATTAAGCTCTGAAAAGTGTATATTATCAGCATAAACAAACATCTCTGGGATGGATACTGCAGTGGTGGGTTCCTACTGGTTCAGACTGGTTTGGCCAAACCAGTAGTGGCAGTGACCCAGGCCTGCCATGCCCAGAACCAGTGCCTACAGCACCACCATCTTGTTTTTTGTTTCTGTGCATGCACAGAACAATTTTTATTGTACTGTACATGCACACACAATGTGCATCAAGTGTGCGCACACACAGGATGTGCCCACTAGCAAACTGGCAGTAGCAGCTGCTGGAATCCACCCCTGGGATACTGTATAATTGAGGTACCACTTCAGAAAATTTTTGATTAATTACATATTGTAATGCACTGTTTTTAAAAAATATATAGTCATATCAGATGAATGTAGTATACAGACATATTGAAATATCAATGCTCTACAGTTTTATATGATATAAAGACATTGGCAGCATACTTACAGGCATTCCATCTAGACCTGAAAATCCTGGAACTCCAGTTGGACCCTGCAGAAATTCAACATTAAATCATATTAATATATGCTTTACTTTAAAAATGATACAGAACAATTTTGTATAGATTTGTTTTTCTCACTATAACAAGTTTGAGAGCCTGTACACTCAACCAATAACTACCATTAGATTGAAGAAATTGCCCTTTTCTGACAAATCAGAAAAGGTAGAGATTTGACACTAAGCCCTCACTCATTGCCTCAGCAGAGATGACACTTAGTCAAACTTGTTTAGAATTGCAAGGTGAAGAGGATCTGGTTTATATTCAGGTGGGAGACTACTACGGAACACCCAGATTTCAAATAAGATAGAAATCAAGCTAAAGAAGTCCTGGAAAAAATAATAATGACAAACCACATTCCTGTGTCATCAAAGTTCTATATGGAGTGTCTATGAAATTATAATTCACTCAATTCAAAAGGGATTTTCCTAACTCCACCCTTTGCTCATCTAATAAAGATTCCTTGCATCTAAAGGCTGTAATTTTTTTTGAAGCAGCATGGTACCTTTGCCAGAAGTCCTATATGCATCATTAAGAAGCTGTTACCAAAGTCAAAGAGGTATCTATAGGACTGTTGGTCAGTTGGCAAGTCAAAGAATGGGCAACAGTGCTGCTGCCACCAGAGAAGTAATGTGTGGAAGGAATAATTTCTCTTCTTGTTTCAAGCAGCAGGTCTTTCTCCTACTTAGAAGATATATTTTCATTCCTGATTTTTACTTCTTATTTTCCTGAACAGATTAGATCATATAGTTATGGTAAAATGTATACATAGGTTTACATGGATAAGTTATATCAAACAAGACTGGAAAGCAATCTGAGAGTTTAAAAAAGTACTAACATCAAAGAATACTGTAAGAGGCTGGGAGGATAAATGGTGCGACTAAGTATACAATAGTTTCATAGAAATTCACCATCAAACATCCAGACTAAGCTAAAACAGTAGTATGGGTACATTAATCTTACTGCTCTAACTAATACCACCGTCTCTTTCAAATTGGTTGAATGGCTTCATAAGCAGTTATTGCAAATTACATGAAGCCGGGTTTTCATCTGGAACATTAATTAAAATGCATTATATGTCACAATATTTAACATTGGTACTGTGCAAGACTTTGAATTCTTAGATCCTAGAAAGCATGACGAATAGGCAATTCTGCAAATGCTTATTTCCCCAGGACCATGCAGCAGCTGCAGGTAGCCACAAAATACCAAGAAAAGTTTACTTTGAGTTGCAAATATTGCTATATTTCTGCTTCAATATGGTTCAAAACCATCTTTTTGCCTTCATATGTGAAATATTGTACAATTCCATTTAATATCCTTAATGCAATACTGCTAAGTAACAATAATGTTATTTTATTATCTATTACCTACCATATTTCCTCTTTCACCAAGTGGCCCAGGTAGACCAGGATCCCCTCTCTGGCCTTTTTCTCCTGGCAAACCAATAGGTCCAATGGGACCCAGAGCACCAATTGGACCCTGGACTCCTGGTTGACCAGTTTGTCCCTGCAAAGTATAAATAATTTAGATTGTAAAAATGTAATATGTAAGATATGTAAAAAAAAGAGAAGCAATAACAATATGAACAATAATTCAGAGGAGAAAAATAGTTTATTCAAACAAAATGTTCATAGATTATTTCATATATCGTAGTCTGTAATATAACATTAAATGCATTATATTTTTATTTATTATATTGTAGCACAGATGTATATATGAAACAGTGGTGGTTTGTAGGTGGTATGCCCCAGTACAGGCGTACTGGAGCCTGCCGGAGCACTAGATACCATTCCGGTACGTTGCTCCGGAAGGTCCACCCATCTGCCCAAGCTCCTTACCAGGCTTTTAAGTCTTCGGTGCTTCTGAAGACATGCATGGCATGTATAGTGCCTGTGCGATGCTCCGCTGAGCAGCTGGAGCATCACGGAGGCTTGCAGAGGCACTAAGCTGCATGCGCATGCTGCACGCATCCATGTGGATGCTGCCGGGCCCGTTTCAACCGTACCAGTTGGAAGAGGATCCGGAACCCACCACTGATATGAAACCACAGCCTTGTGATAAACATATTTCTGAAGTCTAGTAAAGAGAAAATATATCTTAAATAGAGCCACTAGAGGCAACTTTTTTTTTCAGATAAAAAACTCCACACAAGTCACATTTAGATTAAATTAATAAAAATACTCATATGTCTTTTTCCAGGTTTACCCAACTGTTTTGGAAACTGTCTCAATATATATTTATGCACAAGGATCCCCTTTCTTTTGCTGGATGGAAGTCTCAGAAATAAAAGAAAACCTCAAGAGCCTGGAATAGCAGTTCACCTCCACTTATTATGGCATACAAATACTCATTTGTTCTTTTTTTTTTTAATGACAAGTTAAGTATATATTTTCCTCATTTTAGAAAAAGGACATTAGAGGTATAGCATAGAACTCAATTCTGAAGCAATTCAGACCACTATTTGCTATTTTTAAGTTTTAAAAGAAATGAATCTTTCAAAAATCAGATGTGTCCATTCCAATTTCTGCATTTTTATCTCTCCAAGGATAGGGTTCAGATAAAGAAAGAAGAATAAGAGTCAGAGTTTATCCTATTGTTATCATTTCTGTGTGTGCACCCATGCATACATGCATGTGCATGTGTGCATGCATGTGTCACTATTTGTGTCACTATTTAAGTCACTATTTATTCCTGGCAACTCTCTGGACAAGTCCCTGCAGTTTTATTGGCAAGAAAGTGGACTGCTTCTTCCTAGGACTAAGGAAGACAGACTCATTCAAAGTTGCCTATGTGTTGAAGGCAGGGCTGGAACTCACAATCAGCAAATACTCCCATATATGTAAAAATAACTGAAGACATTGGATGCTACATATAATGAAAGCGCTTAGCATAATTAGAATAGAATTATTAGAATTTCTATTTCTTCAGTGATTTTATTCAACCCATGGAATTGCCAACTGCCAGTCTAAACTTCACAACGAGGTTAATAGTTGATTGACTCTACATAAACACACCATGAATTATTGATCAGTAGAAATGTTGCTAAGAACAAATTGATGGCATCTATAACATTCAATATTTGTGCCCATCTAATGTGACCATTGTGGTATTTCACTCTTAGGGCAGGTGTAAAAATGATGAGAGTAAAGGAAGTCATACTTAATGTGAAAACAAAAAATCAATTCAGTTAAGTAGGCTGAATGTTATGCCTGGCATCTTCTCCTAATGCTAATAAATTCCACTAGCCTGTAGTAGTATTCATACGGAATAATGGCAATGAAGTATAGTGGTGTCATCCACTTTTCCTTTGGCATATTATATAAACTCCATATTACTCTGGAAAATCTAATATTGTATTATTTGATTTCTTTTGCACTCTGAATTTATTTTGATTCTCATCTAATAACCTTATAATGCCTTGACTTTATTGTGCACACTGCCTTAGATTTACGTTGTTTATCTCAAACATATTGCAGTAATCAATGAATGTATAAATCTTCAAAAGAGAGAATGAATTGATAGATGCCATGAATATTTATAGCAGGCATCTCCAGATGTTAAGTTAGATCACCCTCTCTCGTTTATAAAAAGTATTTAACCCAAAAGAAACCAGAAAGATCTGTGAACCCTAACTCTGCTATGTGCTAGTTGGCACAATAAAGGGATATGGGTTCTTTATTCTATGAGTCAGTCTATCATCTTGAAACCTTAAAAAAGCCAACTGGCACCCATCTGACCATTGGGACACAGAACACTTGCTAATTGTCTGTGTCTAATTGTCTTTCCAGTGCCAAGATCAGAGATGGGTTCCTCTCAATACGGTACGGTATGCCAGAAGAGGTAGTGAAAACCTGGCATACCGCATAGGACTGGTAGTAATGGTGGCCTGGCCATGCCCCTGAACCTGTTCTCCTGTCAGAAGCTTTATCAGAAGCTTTTTTTATATAAATTCTTTTTTCCTTGGCGGTTCAGGCAAGGGAAAAAAGCTTTAAAAATAAAAGAGAGAGAGGGAGAGAGGGAGGGAGGGAGGGAAGGAAGGGAAGGGAGAAAGAAAGAGAAAGAAAGAAAAAGAAAGAAAGAAGAAAACTCTCTTTTCAGCCAGGAGATTCAGCAAAGGAGAAAAACAAATGCTGTCGCTTTAAATTGGAACTGAGCATGCCTGGTTGTGGAATTCTGGGAGTTGAAGTCCACAAGTCTTAATGCTGCAAACTTTAAATTGAAACCTGCTTTAAATTGAAAAGCTGCTCAGAAGGAGGTTTGCAAAGTGACATTCAGCAGTTTGTTTCTGGGTTGGCTGAAATGGGATAAAAGGTAGGATTCTTATATGGCTCTATGTTTTTGAAGTTTTGGGGTTTGTGCAATATGGGCTTTGTGTTTCTAAAATAATTTGGATGATTCCCTGCTNGTTGGCTATTCCTGCCAGCTTGGTGTCATCTGCAAATCTGATGAGTTCCCCATTTAGTAGCACCAATCAGAAAAACCAGCAGACTGAGCCTGCTTCTGTTTTCTAATTTGAAAGTTATTGCTATAACTAGAAGAGAAAACTTACCATACACATGTAATCAATTTAATCCAATATAAGCAATTCATTATGGATGTCGTTTATATTAATATGTTTGAATCCAGGCCTTCAAAATTTTAATTTTTAATAACAAAGACTTGATCCCACTGCCGGTATAAAAACCACGTTTAACATTCTTCTTGGCTTTATGATCTGCTGGGAAAGAAAGTATGACAAACTTTAATTTTATGCCCAAATATTTTTAACTTTACATTTAAGTTGAGATATTTTGGAAATATTAGCAGCAAGGGTGGATTGCTGCCAGCATTACTGCTGGTTTGGTGCACGCAAAATGTGTGCACATTTGTATGTAAATAGGTCTGTTTGTGTGCAAAACATTAAAAATGAAAAAAAGTTATTTTTTTCAATGAAAATTGGTCTGTGTATGCACAGAATCTAAAATCAAGTGGGCAGCACCGCAGGAAAACTGGTTCAGGGGAGTGGCAGGCCTGGGTCGCTGTTGGTTCCAGCGACCGAGGCCATCAAACCACTACCAGTTTCAGCTGAACCGGTCCAAACTAATAAGAACTCACCACTGATTAGCAGACTCTTCTTAAGTGAAATACTAATGTAAATGTCCATTAACTTAGTCTTCTGTTGTCATGGAACAAATGCTCTTGCTTTCATTTATATATACACAACAAGATTTCCCCATATAATATTGTTTTCAAAAGCAAAAACAATCAGATAGACAATAATTCTCAAGTTTTTTTTTTTAAACATGCATGTCAGAAAAATCAATGTGCATTTCAGACACCTAGAAACGTGCCTGTTATCCATGATAGGATTATTTACAGACACCTGCAAATGTGTCTTTATTCCAGTTTGAGGTTTAGCTATGCCCTAATGAAGGAACCATCAAAGAACCTGACCCTAGGCCTCATTTAGGTCTCTACTCCAGAGCAGTGCAATAAAAGAAACTTGATTTATGAGAATTTAATTTAGTACCAAAATGTTTTTTTTAAAAAAATATCTAAGAACTTCTATTTGGGTGGACCAAGATGTCTTTTGTCATTTTTGAAAGAAGCAAGAGAATTCTCATGAGTGTTTGGAAGATCTCTTTCTAGAACTCCAGTCCTTAGAAAACTATTTTAATCCAAGTAGAAATATGGATGTAAACGTAAAGTTAATTTGTTCTGGCATTGTTTTCTAATTACATAGTTATCTTTTAAAAAATAGCTGAATACTAACTCTGGCACACCTAGTAGGAGTTTTGATTTTTCTTTGAATAACAAATTCCTCCCATATCACAATTCTAAACCAAAAAGAGAGATTTGAGGGTAACATAACATAACAGAAATAATTGCAAAAAGGGTTTAGAATAAGGCCAAAAAAGTCTTACTCTTGTTTAGAGTCTGAATAGCTGAGATTCAAAAATGATTCTAGGATTTTTAAGTTTGAAACCCAGATGATTGCCTTTAATAAGGTTAGCATAGGGGAAAGTCTTCATTCAGAACTTAGAATGCAACATGCTTTTATCACCTGTAATTTAGCATGCTGGCCTGGTTTAGCCATTATGCAGTAAAATATGAAGAATACTCGTTTTCTCACTAAAAAGTATAGTTAGCTGAACCATGTTTCACACAATATCTAAACCATACCAAAGTTTGCCAAACAAACAAACAAATTGAATATGTCTTTAAAATATTACTTGCTTCCCACCCCCCCTCCAGAAGGGGCATTAACTTGAGGAAACATAGACAGCATCTATAATGCTTAACTCTGACTCTGTTAAGTGTGTCACATAATACCTCAAAAATCCATTTTAAGCCTATTCAATTTCAGTGTAATTAAACTTCTAAGCTACCTTGACAAGCTTTAAGCAAGTATTAAAAATGCATTCTCAGTCAACATAATTTTATAGTCTTAATAATAAATAGAAAGTAAGTGATAGTGACAGAGAAATCCTGAAACAATGTTGGAAGGGACATGGAAGTAATAGGCTAGTTTTCCGGAACTAACACCATCTTTTCTTGGATCAGTTAATGTAAAAAAGTCTTACAGACAAGGTAACAGAATCATTTTACTGCACCTGCTGTTATAAATCAATCTGATATGAGGAAATGACAGGGTAACTTAAGGCCAAAATATTTTACTCTACATGTATTAACATAAATTATGTACACCACATATACTAAAAAAAATCTGCCATTTCCACCCTCTCTATAGTAAAAACAATTTGCCTTAATGGGTGAAAAAAATAATGTCCAAATATTTCTGCAAAAAATCATTTTGTCACAGCTTTGGATGCGAGCCCTAATGTGATTTTTAAAATTCTGAAATCCAAAGGTTTCCCACTAAAGATATATCTAAACAACAGTTTGCTTATTCCAAACCAAAAGTAGGGTTATTGCCCCTGGACTACAAAAAACTCAATAGTAGCAAAGAGATTCAGAACCTTCTAATTGATATAACAGCAAAAATCCAGACAGGGATGTACTGTGGCCTGGTATAAAGAAATGGCCACAATACAGCTCTGAAGCTCCCTTTTTCTGATACTCAGAATTTTCCATGACCCAGATAGTTGACAATTGATGGCAAATTACACCCCAATAAGCCTATTAGCCTTTCTTCCAGGAATATTTAGGGTTCAGCAAGGAACAAGGAGGGCATATGTTTAAATGGTTAGCTAGCAGCTTTGGGCTGTGCTAAACATACCAAGCCAGAGGAAATAAATCTTAAGGTATCTCCAGATTTGAGCCAAACAGGTCAAAGTTTGTGAGCACCATTCTCTTATCCCAAGATATCTGGCCACTATTCCAATTTATATCTAGTAGAAAGAAAAAGACCAGGAATTTCCCCCAGGTATACCCAGCACAGCCCAGCTCTGCCCTGCCAAGTTCCTATGGCATTGTTGCTATATCATGCAATGAAATACCAGCTCATCTTAAATTGTCCTTAGCTGCACCAGCATTAAAGAAGTATTTCCCCTTGTATTCCAATCTCTTCCAAGGGCAAATATCACTATGTGAATAGTTTGTTAGGCTTTGTCACTCATTACCTTGAAGGAAGAGCAGAAAGGCCCGAAGTAAATGAGGAGAGAGGCCCTAGAGGCAGGATAGGGATTTCCCACGGAAGAGCAAATGTCATCCTGCACACTTCTCTGCCAACTCGAAGACAGATGGATGCAAAGCTCTTCAACTTAGCAGCGGAAGGCAAACCTTCCGCTCCCTTCCTTACAGGGCAGCCTTCCCGATCAGGCAATTCAGATGTGGTGGAACGCTGACCCCTGGACCGCGTTGTATTATGAGAGTTTGGGTCCCAACACATCGGATACTTGGCTCGGGATGCTACCTTCTCCTCCTTCCCCTCCATAACCCCACCTTCCTTTCCCCTTTGGGTCCCAACACATCGGATACTTGTTTCGGGATGCTACCTTCTCTCCCCCCCCCCACAACCCCCCTTCCTTTCCTCGCCACGACGGGCTTACCTGACTTCTAGGAGACCAGCCCCTGAAGCTGCCGCTCGGTTTCCTCCTCTAAGGCAAAGTACTGCCGCTTCTACTCTTCTCTAATCTCCTCCCGCCACCCCAGGGGGGGAGGAGCTTTCCGTGGACCGTGCAGGGATGCGCCGGGTGGGTGGGTGAGTGAGTGAGTGACATCAGGACAGAGGCGAAGGGACCGCAGACCGGTGAGACTGGAAAGGAAAGTCAGGAGTGCCGCGTGGACATGGAGGGGCTCGTGCGCCCCAAAAGCTGGCACTTGGGGCTAGCCGTCATTTACATGCTGGCTTTGGGCGGCTGGGAGCAGGACGGCTTTCCTACTGCTGTTGCCGCGAAGGTGAGTGTAGTCAGGGATGCTGACCGGCTAAAACGGCTTTCTGCCTGCGGAGTAACCCGAGGGGAAATAGCCCACCCACCTTCCCCATCTCCGTCTGGGCACTGTTTCTTTCAGCAGGACTCCAGTATCTTTAACGGAAAGAAATGTCAGAGCAGCTTTGCCACCCGGGAGACGATTTCATCTGCTGAAGTTATTCCTTGCTTATTTGTAGCGTTTTCTAGCCTGCTTTTTCCATTAGATAAAAACCAACAGTGGGTACAATTCATTAGAAACTGTTAAGCGTAGTTTTAATCTGAATCTTTATCAGAAAGCAGGGAGGAAAGAAACAGATCGCAGTTCCCTGCTTTGCCTGAAAAAACCTTTGCCCAAGTCTAAGAGGCAGTAAAAAGTTATTTTGAAACGAGAAGATGGCGCTAAGTTGATTGAGGCTTTTTTGCTTTCTGCATTGGTGACTTAAAATTGTACCCGCTGCTGTTCTCTCAAGTCAGTTGCCTTTTCTTCACCCCCCCCCCTTTACATTTGGTAACATGTGACTTGCTTCAATAAGAACTGTCTTCTCTGGAGGTGTTTTGCTTCAGTGCACCTGTCTTGCTGTCATATGAATTGCGATGTGCAGGCAAATCTGGGAAGATATGAAAGGCAGCCTACAGCATGTAGCAGACAGTTTTCAAAAAGCTAAACATGAAGCCCAAAGCATCACTTTTGTTTTCTTCCTCTTGGAAAGTATTACCTATTTGCCACCAAAAAAAAGTATAAACAGGAGAATGATCCCTGAAACTCTCATTGGCACAACCTTTTCTGGACACAACAGAATGCAGAGTTCTAGAAGAGTTGTTTTGTGATTAGCAGTGATAAAAAGATTTAAAAAGCATTCAAATTACAGGCAAATGTGTGCATGTTTGGTATCTCTTGAAAATTGATGAACAAATTATGTAGGGGGGGGGAGCCTTTTAGAAACAGCTGTTCAATAAAAGAAGAAAGCAATTATTGTTATAGAAAAATAATGACAGATGATCTATAATTTTATCTTGTCCCAGAGATGATAAATGCTTGGATGAAAGTGCATACAAAGGTTATTTGCTTAAGATCTTCTTCCTCCTCCTTCCCCTTCCTCCTCCCCCTCCCTCCTTCTCTTCCTCTTCTTTTCCTTTTTCCTTTTTCTTCCTCCTCCTTCTCCTCTCTCTCTCTCTCTCTGTCTCTCTCTCTCCTATTTAATCTAGCAATCTCAAGGGGGCAGACTTAATCTAATATTTTTGCCTCCTATTTTCCTCCAAAAAAGCAACCATATGAGATGGGCTTGGTTGAGAGAGAATGACTAGCCCAATCATCTAGTCATTCTAAATGTACATGTTCTTTTGTGCTCTCATTTTAAAGAAAAACTCATTCAGCAGTTACTTCCTTCCTTAGCTAGTACTTCCTTAACTGTATATTTGATTATATTAAACGGTTTGTACATTTACTGATTTTGGCATATGTTTGGTACCATTGCACAGAAATCCCAATTAAGATAAATAGTTACTAGTTGTTAAATTGTGGGTTTAATTATATTAATCAGAACTAAAGCCAATTAGAATTCAATAGGATTTATAGAAAGATGTTGAAAAATCATATGCTGTTCTTTATCACTTGAGAAATACCCAGTGCTATGTTGTAATCCATATTATATTCAGCATAAAGTTTGAGAGGAATTTAGTTATAAAAACATGAAACAGCTTCATGCTTCTTAAAGCATTTCAATATAATACAATAGCAGAGTTGGAAGGGACCTTGGAGGTCTTCTAGTCCAACCCCCTGCCTAGGCAGGAAACCCTACAGCACTTCACACAAATGGTTATCCAATATCTTATTAAAAACTTCCAGTGTTGGGGCATTCACAACTTCTGGAGGCAAGCTGTT